GCGCTGCCAGCTGGGATGTTTCCCCCTGCTGCAGAGGCAGGGAGGGACCGACCTTGTGTCCCAGCCTCCACATTCCCTCCCCTCTGCTCTTGGCAGCAGCACCTGCTCCTGAAGGGAAACTGAGCTGAGACACCAGCATTCCCAGCTGGATTCTGTCTTTCTGTTGCCTTAAAATCTTAAAAACAAAAAGCAAAAGGCAAAGCAGGCAGGGAGGTGGCAAAAGGGGATCCCAGGGAGATCCTCTTGGCAGAGGGGGTTGGTGCTGGAGCCTCAGCAGCCAAAATCCTCCTGCAGATGCAGCCCTGATGGCACAGGATCCAGCACAGAAACACAGGGTCAATCACAGAATCTATCACAGGATCACAGGATCAACCACAGAATCAATCACAGAATCTATACAGGATCAAAGGATCAATCACAGGGTCACAGAATCAACCACAGAATCAATGAATCCCAGAATCAATCCCAGAATCAATCAATGAGTCACAGAGTCACAGAATCCCAGATTCTATCCCAGAATCAATCCCAGAATCTCTCCCAGAATCAATTCCAGACTCTATCCCAGAATCAATCCCAGAATCAATCCCAGACTCTATCCCAGACTCAATCCCAGAATCTCTCCCAGAATCAATCCCAGAATCAATCCCAGACTCTATCCCAGAATCAATCCCAGAATCCCCCACAAACCCACAGAACCACAGGATGTCTCTGCCTGGAAGACCCTCCCCAGCCCATCCCCCCAGCCTCATACCCCCCACCACAACCTCCCCACCAAACCATGTCCCCAGGTACCAGGTCCACGTGCCATTTCAATGCCTCCAGAGGTGGTGACTCCACCCCTGCTGCCCTGGGCAAACTAATCCAAATGCTTTTAAAAATGCTTGAAAAAAAAGATTCCAGTGCCCTGTTTGGGACCAGCAGCTCCAGGGGGGACATTTGTCACCAGGGGTGACAAGCAGCTTCACTGGGGCCACAGCTGGAGGTCACCTCTCCTCCCCCTGCCCCAAACCTGCTCACAACACCCAAACCAGCCTCAAAAAGCTGCAGTTTGAGCACAGGCAGCAAAAAAAGAGCTGAGTTTGGGAAGGTGGCATCAGGCAAGGCAGGGGCTGGGGCAGGATGCAGGCAGGGATGCAGGCAGGGATGCAGGCAGGGATGCAGGCAGCAGCTCCAGCCCCTTCTCTGGAGAACCTCAGCCCTCCCTCTGCACCCCCCAAGTGGTCTCTTTCTGGAAAGAAGCCCCTGTTGGGTTCATCTTATTCTTTTCCCCCCTCAAGCACAAGGACAGAAGGAATGAAAAGGGCTGCAGGGTCGATAACGAAACCACCTGCTGAAATCACCACCAAGGGAAGGACAGGGCAGGCTCTGCTGGTGACAAACACCCCCCTTGGTGAGCACAGGAAGGGGGGAAATCCAACCCCAAGGAAGCAGAACTCCTGTTTGTCCCCAAGGAGAAGCAAAAGAAGCATCATTAGTGTCTGTCAATGAGTGTCACGCTCCGCCAGGAACGGATCCATCAAGATTAACTGGTGGCTGATGCTGACACAACATTTACACTTGTTGGGGCCAAAGCATTTCTTTAAAGTTGGGGGGGGGAAACCAAACAAAAAACCCAAAGAAAGGAAGAAAAAAGGCTGCCTTTGGAGAATGTAACTGTTGACTAACATTTGCATGCAATAAACCACATACTTGGCAGGAACTCGTGGGGCTGGAGCCAAGAAAAAGCTGCAGCTTGACCTGCAGGAGGTTTGCAAAGCAGTGGGAACAAGTTGGTTACATGGAGCTCAAAAGGAGGTGGGAAATGGAAGGACACCCCCCCCCAGTGCCCAGCTGGGGCCCACTGGGGTTTTCCTCCCAGTGACTGGAAAGATGCTTGTGCAGGGAAGGTCTCAGGAATGGGATCTAGGAGAGGGTTGGGATGCCTGGGTGTTTTCCCAAGGGGGAAATGGAAGCTGGAAAGCAGAGGATTTTGAGCTCTTCAAAACCCTCCAGGGGTTTCAAAGTTTATTCTTCTCATTCTAGATGCTCTTGTCACCCCCAGGAACATTTCATCCCCCAGTTAGAGCCCCAGGGCAGGGCTGGGTCCCCTCTCCACCTCCAGCTGCTGGACCACCTTGTGCTCAGCCTGGGAGCC